ATGCGCCTGTGTTGTGTTCGGGGCCACAAACCTGTTATATTCATGCCCTCTAATGGGTCGTCGGTAAGTTTAGGAGGATTATGGTGATACAACCATCACTCACTCAACCTAACCTACCTGTCTATCTGTCTGTCTATGTCTGTATATATGTATATATATCTCTCTCTGTCTGTCTATATCTATTTGTCTATCTATCTACCTGTCTGTCTCTTTCCATTTGTCTATCTCTCTATCTGTCTGTCTATATATCTATTTGTTCCTATTTTTCCACCAGTCTGTCTCTCCGTCTCTGTTCATCTCTGTCTGTCTGTCTGTCTCGTCACCCCCACATCACGCCACAATAACCCATCACAAAACTCAACAACATTTAAGCACGTTTCCCCTTTCATTTTTTTTAATACCATAAATGTGATTTTATCGTCAACAAAAACCAAACTATTGGAAAAAAAATCCCACCACCGACCCGTTATTTACACGGCTATAAAACAACAAGGGATCGAACCCGGGTGCTCGAGTAATGTTTTATATCTAGGATGAACAAGATGTGGTCTATTTATGTGGTGAGGGATTAAGTGTTTAGTGGAGTGGTGCTTTGTTCGTCCTGGGAGTAAAAACCGCTAGTGGGGAGGTAGGGAGGGGGCGAGCAGGTGGGGAGGGGGCGAGCAGGTGGGGGAGGAAGAATGGAGGGAATTGGTGGGGGAGGAAGAATGGAGGGAATTGATGGGGAGGAAGAATGGAAGGAGTAGGTGGGGGAGGAAGAATGGAAGGAGTAGGTGGGGGAGGAATTGTGTGAGGTGTAGGTGAGGGTAATCTCTCTCTCTCTCTCTCTCTCACTGGGACCTAACCTAACCTAACCTCCTTATTAAGAACGCTCTAAAACACCGCATTCAAAACGCTGTAACTCTTGGGGCGGCCACGACTGGTTCCACTCCTTTAACCCGACCGTCCGACCATCCGACCGCCCGATCACCCGACCATCCGACCATCCGACAGTCCGACCATCCGACCACCAACTTATCGGTTATAGAGAAAATAGGAAATCCATAAGTCATCCAGACGTTCTTATTAAAATTCCGACTCGGGGAATTATCGTCTCCATGATGAGTCTCCCAGGCCCCAGGAGACCATCTGTGAGTCTCCCAGGCCCCAGGAGATCATCGGTGAGTCTCTCAGGCCCCAGGAGACCATCGGTGAGTCTCTCAGGCCCCAGGAGACCATCTGTGAGTCTCCCAGGCCCCAGGAGATCATCGGTGAGTCTCTCAGGCCCCAGGAGACCATCGGTGAGTCTCCCAGGCCCCAGGAGACCATCGGTGAGTCTCTCAGGCCCCAGGAGACCATCGGTGAGTCTCCCAGGCCCCAGGAGACCATCTGTGAGTCTCCCAGGCCCCAGGAGATCATCGGTGAGTCTCCCAGGCCCCAGGAGACCATCGGTGAGTCTCCCAGGCCCCAGGAGACCATCTGTGAGTCTCCCAGGCCCCAGGAGACCATCGGTGAGTCTCCCAGGCCCGAGGAGACCATCTGTGAGTCTCCCAGGCCCCAGGAGATCATCGGTGAGTCTCCCAGGCCCCAGGAGACCATCGGTGAGTCTCCCAGGCCCCAGGAGACCATCGGTGAGTCTCCCAAGCCCCAAGGAGACCATCGGTGAGTCTCCCAGGCCCCAGGAGACCATCTGTGAGTCTCTCACTCTCTATGTGTGTGTGTGTGTGTGTGTCTGCATCAGGTCACTTTTAACAGTAATTAAATAATTGAGTAAGAACAGGGATTCCTAATTACTAAACTTTGGCTCCTAATAATGAGATTCCAAAAACCTTTAATTCCCATCCCCACCACCATTGTTTGTACATCACACACACACACACATTACCGAGCCAGGAAGGTGTAACTCATCACACGTTAATTTACGACTGAACTCATTAGCTCAGGTGAATCAAAAATCCCAGGTAAGTTATGAATTCAATTACCCTGATTGTTAGGGTGGCATTATTCTTTTTTTTTTTTTTTTTATTTCATTTTTTGCATGTCTACATTCGTTGGTGTAATCATTTTTTCTTTGATTATTTGTGATTATGGTTCATTCTTTATGTCTGTTATTGTTATCATCATTATTATTATTATTAGTAGTAGTAGTAGTAGTAGTAGTAGTAGCTTTTCGTCTCATCCCCCTGAACAAAGACCCAGGGTGTAGGTCTATAGGAGAGGGGGAAGTGCTAAGACGGATCATTGGAAATGCATAATGGAGGTGGTCATTGATGATGTCAGGGCAGCTGCAGGGAACCTGGAAGTATGTGCTGGCCACCAGGCTGGGGGTGAAGCTGTCATTCACGCCATGAGAAAGATATTTGAGCAGCGCGATTGTGAGGCATTCAACATAATCAACCACAAGGCTACACTGCACAACATCAAGATCAATGTATGTTAAAAACGCCTACAGCAACCCGACAAGCTTTAAGGCCCAAAGAGGAGATACTACCATAGTCAACTAAGGCAACTACGCAGGGGGTTCCAGTCGCCATGGCAATGTACGCAATAGGTCTATCCGTGTTCCAACATACAATAAAACTATGAAACAACCAAGGTCAAGCAGGTGGCTTATGGTGCTGACCTTACAGGAGCAGGACAAGTGGAGGACATCAAAAAGTGGTGGGACCTGATAATATCACATGGTCCACAAATCGGGTACCACCCAAATGCCAGCAAGTCCTTCCTCAATGTGAAGTCAGAATACCATAACCGGGCTATAGAGGTGTTCGGCGGAGTGAGGTCAAAATAACAAAGGACGGCCAAAGACGTCTAGGTACGAAAATCGGTACGAATGACTTCAAGACCGAGTACGTGACGGGAAAGGTAAATGAGTGGATGAAAGAAATCCAAGCTCTGTCGGAGACTGCTAAAACTGAGCCACATGCATCGTTTGCGGCATTCACCCACGGAATCGAGCATCGCTGGAATTACCTGATGCGCACTATCCCCGATATCGGATCTCTCCTCCACCCTCTGGAAGAAACCATCAAGGTCACTTTTATCCCAACACTAGTGAAAAACCATTATTTAAACCCAGCAGAAAGGTCACTCATTGCACTACCACCGAGACTGGGAGGAATAGGATTGACTAATCCAGAGGCGCTTGCCGCCACAGAACATCAGAACTCGGTCAAGCTCACGGCAACCGTTACTCAGCACATAATAGCTAAGAACGCAGCAAGTCAGGTGGATACCAACGACTTAAACAAGATTCGACGGTCCATTACAGCAGAACGGTATCACACCCAAAGTGATAAACTTCAACAACTGAGGCTGCAATAGTCAGAGAACTTGAAAAAAGTAACTATAGCGCAGGAGGTGGACGCCTCGAACTGGCTAACAACGTTACCGATAAGGGCAAAAGGCTTCATCCTTAATAAACAAGAATTCACAGATACCATTGCACTAAGGTACGGGAGGCCATTAGGTTTGCCCTCCCAATGCGTGTGTGCTTCATCCTACGGCATCGACCACGTCATGGTGTATAAGAGAGGGGGCTTCATATGCATGAGACATGACGGAGTAAGGGATCTCACAGCAAATATGCTGAAGGAAATCTGTCATAATGTCACGGTGGAACCGACCCTCCTTCTATTGGACGGTGAGAATTTCCATCACAGAACTTCAAACACATCCAACGAAGCCCTTGTGGACGTTAGTGCTCGAGGATTCTTGACACGGCGACAGTGAGATTTTTTGACATAAGTATTTTCGACCCCATGGTCGCATGTCCCTGTAACCTAGCTCTCGATGCTGCACACAGGAGGAACGAGAATAACAAGAACAGGGCATAAGGGGAGAGAATTCAGAATGTGGATCAGGGCAGCTTCACTCATCTGGTGTTCACAACCTCTGGCGGGAAGGGACCAAGTGCAAGATGCTTCTACGCCAGACTGGTGGAGGTGTTGTCTGAGCAAAGCAGCAGCCCAGAAGCCACGTTGCAGGCTGGTTGAGAAGCCAACTGTACTTCTCTCTGCTTAGGTTTGTACTGCTTTGCCTCAGGGGAACGAGATCATCGGCCCTAAAGCCGACAACAGTTGCAGATATTGACTGAGGCAACAGTCACTGAATGCCGCATAGATATGCAGCTCAACTTACTCAACACAGCTAGAGTAGTTACTTATGTATTAGGATATGTAATATTAAGGTAATAAAATCGCGGTGAAGGTGTGGCTATTGAGGGAGGCTGTAGGCCACGTTTAAAAAAAAAGTAGTATAAAATGGTGGCGAAGGTATGGCTATAAGGGAAGGTTGGAGGCCATTGAAAAAAAAGTAGTAGTAGTGGTGGTGGTTATTGAAGTAATGGTGGTGGTAGTTGACGCAGGTAGTGATGGTAGTAGGCGCTGGAAATAGTAATAGTGAGTAGTGGTAGGCAGAGGTAGTAATGGTGGTGATGCTGGTAATTGACGCATGTATTAAGGGGTGGTGGTGGGTGGAGGTAGTGGAAGAGGTAAGGTCTGGGTCGGGTTGGATCGGTAGGAGAGGTCGGTGTCGAGCTCGGTGCCTCGGTCAGTCGTGGTGTGGCAGTGGTCGGGCGAGGTTGTAGTGCTATACGCTCTCTCTCTTCCCCTCTCAGTCCCTCCCTCTTTCGCTGACGAGAACTTGTCAACAACAACAGAAAAACTCTACTTGCTGACGTCCACCAAGATGTCAGCCCCAAGTGTAATAGCAAAGTAGATAATGTACTTACCATGGAGGAGAAGTACTTACCATGGCGTAGATAATGTACTTACCATGGAATAGATAAAGTACTTACCATGGTATACACTCAAACACTGACTTACTCTCGTAGAAAATCATTGTTTGTGAATCTGTTTTGGGATAAGATAGAAGACTCCTAATTCCTGACCAGGTAAGAGTGTGTGTATTTACATGAGTGTGTTTATGTTGACGTGAGTGTGTTTTTAAGTGCTTAGTTTACGTGAGTGTGTTTTAAGTGTGTTTATGTTGACGTGAGTGTGTTTTTAAGTGTGTTTATGTTGACGTGAGTGTGTTTATAAGTGCGACAGTGTTTACGGTAGACTGTGTACTTACAAATCCATGTTTACAAAGTTTCAATAAATAAATAAATAACCGGTGGCGACATCACTAACGAGCTGCCTTTACTTAATTATCAAAGGTTAATATTATTCAGGACTACAAGCAAGAATAGTTAACTAACTAACCAAACAACCAACCAGCTGATAACTCACTAACCAACCAGCTGATAACTCACTAACCAACCAGCTGATAACTCACTAACCAACCAGCTGATAACTCACTAACCAACCAGCTGATAACTCACTAACCAACCAGCTGATAACTAACTAACTAACGAATCAACCAACGTCATTACATAACATTACGCACAGTACCTAATAGTTATCACATTGGCCCCGCTGGGACTTGTGGAGGAAAGAGAACAAGTATTTAATTACTAGATAATGATGTGTGTGTGTGTGTGGGTGTGTGTGTGTGTGTGTGTGTGTGTGTGTGTGTGTGTACAATACAGGAAATACGATACAAATAATATAATAGAATAATAATACAACACAAGCAATAGAGTACAGGTAATACAACACAGGTAATACAACACAGGTAATACAACACAGGTAATACAACACAGGTAATACAACACAGGTAATACATAATACAATCACACTGTATCTTAAAAGGTTCCTCGGGCAACACCTCAAGATATATATTTACCTGTAGTAATTGGTGGAAATATTACCTGGGCGGGAGGTAGAGTTAGGAAGAGTGGGAAGTAGTCAGGTAGAGTGGGGGGTAGTTAGGTAGAGTGACAGGTATAGTGGGAGGTAGAGTGACAGGTATAGTGGGAGGTAGAGTGACAGGTATAGTGGGAGATAGAGTGACAGGTATAGTGGGAGGTAGAGTAAGTCAGTGAGTTAAGGTGTCTCTCAGGTGTGCTTCACAAGGCACCATCAGTTTTATGGGGGAAATATATGAATATTGGTGTCTCTGTTTTGTGCCATGTTCATGAGAGTCTTCTAACTTAACCTCTCTTAAACTAACCTAACGTAATTTACTCTAGCCTAACCTAACATTCTAATGGACTATAGTATATGTTAGTTCGAAGTCCTTTAAATATGAAACCTCTATTAACGGATTATATGTAAGAGGTTTGTCCGTTAAATGGAAGTGCGTTATAAGGAGGCTTCACTTGTTTTATATATAAATAAACACAATATTTTGCCGGTCTAACAGTTCTCGTCTCTTCTCGAGCATAAAAACAACATATTATTATAATGTATTTTACTACAAGTGTACCTGATTTATGTGTCGCTGAGAGAGAGACAGACAGACAGACAGACGAAGACACAAATAAACAGAAAAAGAGACAGACAGACAAAGAGAGACAAAAGACGCAGACAAAGGGAGAGAAAAGAGACAAGGAGAGAAAAAAGGAGACAGACGGAGAAAGGAAGAAAAAAGACAAAAGAGAGGAATGGCAACACACACACACAGCTGATCATCAACTTAGTTTACGTCAGTGTTAAGAGCCGCGGTCATTCATCATTGTCTCACTTGTTTTATGAATGGCTGCAGCCTTCACCTGTCAGGCCGTCGAGTGAGGCATTAATGAAGTCTTACCTCACCCAACTGCTCTTTATTATTGTTGTTTTCCATCTACTATCCATTGCATATTTTTCTAGGTGTGTCAGTATAGGTGTGTCAGCACAGGTGTGGCAGCACAGGTGTGGCAGTACAGGTGTGGCAGAACGGTCTGACAGACCTTGCGGCATCACCAGAACTGCAAGGTCCAGGTGGCACTTGAGGTGACACTTAAGGTGGCACTAGTATCAAACACTGAACATCACCACAATTTGTATTCATCTGCAACATCCAGGAAGCCTTTGGCGGTGCAGCGGCGGATGTGTACGGTCCAGTGACGAGGTTCCTGAAGGGGGTTGGGGGGGAGGGAGGTGTGAGGAGGAGAGGGAAGATAGGCTGGGGAGTGAGGGTGTGGCTGGGGGTGAGGGGAACAGGAGGGGTGGCTGGTCGGTGAAGGGGAGAGGGAAAATAGGCTGGGGGTGAGGAGAGGAGTGAGAGAGGGGAGGGGTGGCAAAGGGGGAGAAGGAAAGAGGGGTATATCTGGAGGGTGAGGGGGAGAGGGAGGGGTTGCTGGGGGTGAGGAGGGGGGGGGAGGCGTTACGCTACAGTGGGTGAGGTTATTGTGACCACCTCGTTCAGTATTTTATTTCCGAGAATTCTTTTTCAACATCGCGGAGTTTTTGTTTGTTGACAGTATGTGTGTGTCTGTTACCACCACACACCACACCACCATCACATCACCAGTTCACCACTACCATACGAGCACCACACCACACAAGACTCCACACCACCACCACACTTGGGCGGATCCAGGAATATCAAAAGGGGGGTCCAAGAAGTTGTGGGCGGGGGAACATGGCGAGCCTACCGTGCTGGGGGTTTGGAGAGCACTGTAAGCCCCAGAATTTTTATTTCTATTTATTTTTTAATCTAACCAATATCATGGGAGTCTTGAGGCCATTTTGAAGCCATGTGCACTTGATATTAGGAGATATTCTGAGGTCAATAGTAATTATTTTTACTGTAAAAAAAATGCCTAAGTCAATACTGCCTTAAAGAAAGGGTATTGGCTTTTCTGATGACAAAGGAGGAGTCAGCACCCCCCCCCCCCGCCACACTACCACATCATCACATCACCACTACCACACGAGCACCACACCACCAAACACTAAACCAACCACACTAGCACCACACCACCATTACCACCACACCACCACCACACACACATCCATTCTTGGCCAACACACAACTTCTTGCCACAAGTTTAGATTCAGAACAAATTCGAACATTGGAAAATCTTCTAAACTTAAATCACGTCTTTTATTTGTCGGGTCAAGAACAGCTATTGATAACATGTAGCATTATCACACACACAGACACACACAGACACAGACACACTCACACAGACACACACACACACAGACACAGACACACACACACAGACACACACACACACACACACACACACAGACACACACAGACACACACACACAGACACACACACACACACACACACAGACACACACACACACACACTCACACACACACACACACACACACACACACACACACACAATGTTATCTCCCAGCTACTGTAGGTAAAACATTTCCTGTTGACAAAATACACATAATAAGTTATTCTGAAAAGGTTAGTCCAAATGAATCATTCTTCCGTGTGAGGCTGTAATTCGGCTGTAATGAAATGCTGTAATGTTGCTCTAATGTGAATGTAATGTAATGTGAGTGTTATGTTATGCCGTAATGAGGTTATAATAAGGATGTAACGTGACTGTAATGATGCTGTACTTTGACTGTAATTTGAGTGTAATGATGTAATGTGACTGTAATGATGCTGTACTTTGACTGTAATTTGAGTGTAATGTGACTATAATGTAATGAGGCTTTATATTTTAAATACACACACAACCTAATCTTTTTTATAACAATATTCTTTATTTCCTTCTACTGTACAAACATACAGACAAACCCGTATGTCTATCTATATATTTTCGGGTGTATATAAATCTAGTATAAAATTCCTCTACGCTATAATAACCAACGTCAATATAAAACTCATCGTGATGTATATAAAAAAATATAAATTAATATAACTTGGTAATTTATACAGCCTTTTTTACCACAATGATATATATATATACACGGTACCATTACATAACTGTCCAATAATGTAATATAATTGTAGACGTAGAGATGACTGGGTGTGGGTGAAGGAGGGTGTAGAGATGACTGGGTGTGGGTGGGTGTAGAGATGACTGGGTGTGGGTGAAGGAGTGGGTGTAGAGATGACTGGGTGTGGGTGAAGGAGTGGGTGTAGAGATGACTGGGTGTGGGTGAAGGAGTGGGTGTAGAGATGACTGGGTGTGGGTGAAGGAGTAGGTGTAGAGATGACTGGGTGTGGGTGAAGGAGTGGGTGTAGAGATGACTGGGTGTGGGTGAAGGAGTGGGTGTGGGTGTGGATGATGGTGTAGAGATGGCTGGGTGTAGATGTAGACGGGGGTGTAGGTGCAGACGTGGGTGTACATGTAGGTGCAGGAATGGGTGTACATATAGGTGTAGGTGTAAACATGGGTGCACATAGAGGTGAAGGACTGGGTGTAAGTGTGACACCCGCTGTGTACTTACCATTACCCGGTGTAGTCCTTCAAGCACTGCGTTAGTTTGTGCTGACAGGTGAGCGTTCCATTGTCTCTCTCTCTCTCTCTCTTTCATTATTATCTTTTCTCACTTCCTCTCTCTCGCACACAGATACATGTATTTGTTCACACACACACACACACACACACACACCCACACACATTTAGGCGCACATACATGAATATACACACACACACACACACGTACAGTAAGTACGCATACATGCATATACACATACACGTAGGTACATATACATTCATATACACACATACACATAGGTACACATACATGCATACACACACACACACACACACACACACGTAGGTACACATACATGATATACACACACACGTAGGTACACATACATGCATACACATACACACACACACACGTAGGTACACATACATACATATATACACACACACGTAGGTACACATACATGTATATATACACACACACGTAGGTACACATACATGCATATAAACACACACATGTAGGTACACATACATACATACATATATACACACACGTAGGTACATATACATGCATATATACACACACGAAGGTACACACACAACAAAACACCCACAAATAATCATAAAATATCAATCATTATTCTATCCATCCTAGAAAAAAATTAAACTAAGGTAAAGACACGGGCATGACTCCCACCTGCAGTAATTACACCGTCCTGGGAAAAAATGCTTTGTCATAACTCACAGCAAAGGAACCGCTGAAATTACGCTGAGGATTGTGTCATTTTTTACTCATTATATTTTTTGTTTTCTTTATCTCTCTGTCTGTCTCTTTGTGTACTCTCTCTCTCACTGTATGTCTTTTTTTGTGTATGTGTGTGTGTGTTTTTGCGTTCGTATGTGTGCATGTATGTATGGTAGTGTGTGTGTATATGTATGTGAATGTGTATGTTAGTATGTGTGTGTGTGTGTGTCTGCGTTTACGTTTGTATGTGTGTATGTGTTTGTGTATGTATATATGTTAGTGTGTGTGTGTGTGTGTCTGTGTTTGTATGTAGGTATGTATGTATATGTGTTTGTGTGAGTGTCCGTGGCTGTGTGTGTGTGCGTCTGTGTATGTGTATGTCTGTCTGTCTGTCTATTTAACAGCCACAAAAACCATTTTACGGTTATAAGAAAAATTCATATAAATTTATTTTTTCAGATTAAAATTTTACCCAAATGACAAAAAAAAATCACAATTTTTTAGTGAAATTGGAGAGAATTTTTCGCGCATATTTTTCCACATCAATTTTTTCCCAGAATTAGAATATATATATGTGTGTTAAATTATTATTCCGGCGTGTAAAAAAGTACTAGAATTTATAGTGCAATAAATAGGAAAAAAATGCTGTATGGTGGATGAATTAATTCTCAGGCCTGGAAAAGGTCAGAATTTATGAAGTAATATTATTAAGAACATTCTGAAGTGTGGAAAAAGTGATGCTGTGAGATAATGACGGAGACAGACAGACAGACAGACAGACAGAAAAACAAATAGAGGCCGACAGAGCCAGATAAAGATAGACAGATACAGGCAGATAGACACATAGACAGACAGACAAACAGATGCATATACAGTAGACATACAGACTGACAGACAGATAGATAGAGACAGACAGAAATATAGATAGAGACAAACAGACAGACAGATACAGACAGACAGACAGATAGATGAGACAGACAGAAATATTATAGATGAGACAAACAGACAGACAGATAGATAGAGACAGACAGAAATATAGATAGAGACAAACAGACAGATAGATACAGGGACAGACAGACAGACAGATACAGGGACAGACAGACAGATACAGGGACAGACAGACAAAATCAGTCATCAGGAGAAGAACGATGATTCAGGAGAACATTATGAATTCCAAAGATTATTGAAGCAAAAACTGCTGTTGTGGTGCTGTACCTCCCTGCTGTGTGGTGCTGTACCTCCCTGCTGTGTGGTGCTGTACCTCCCTGCTGTGTGGTGCTGTACCTCCCTGCTGTTGTGGTGCTGTACCTCCCTGCTGTGTGGTGCTGTACCTCCTCGTTGTTGTGGCGTGCTGTACCTGCTGTGTGGTGCTGTTCCCTGCTGTGTGGTGCTGTACCTCCCTGCTGTGTGGTGCCACCCTGCTGTGTGGTGTGCTGTACCTGCTGTTGTGGTGCTGTACCTCCCTGCTGTGTGGTGCGCTGTACCTCCTGCTGTGGTGCTGTACCTCCCTGCTGTGTGGTGCTGTACCTCCCTGCTGTGTGTGCTGTACCTCCCTGCTGTGTGGTGCTGCCCCTGCTGTGTGGTGCTGTACCTCCTCCTCCCCTAACTCGGTGTGTGGTGGTGGTGCAACTGTGGCTGTACCTACCTCTCCTCTCCACTCTTCATCCCTACCCCCCCCACCCCTTTTTACTCTGTGTGGTGGTTGTACCTCCCTGCTGTGTGGTGCTGGTACCTCCTGCTGTGTGGTGCTGCAATTCCTCCCTCCCCTAACTGGTGTGTGGGTAGTGGTGCAACTGTGGCTGCACCTGCCTCTCCCTCTCCACTCCCTCATCCCACCTCCCCACCCCTTTACTCCTGTGTGAGGTTCAGCAGCAGCTGTTCTAGTTCCTGCTGTGTGTGTGTGTGTGTGTGTGTGTGTGTGTGTGTGTGTGTGTGAACCCAGTAAGTACACTCAGCCTCGAGCAAGTCCTCAGGTGTTTGGTTCAAGAGGTCATGTGTGTGAATACTGAGATCCTCTTCCTCTTCCTTACCTGGGTACGAGAGAGAGAGAGAGAGAGAGAGAATCACAAACATGCTCACCTTCCATCGTACTACGTCTACAGCATCTTGTTATATGTCTCTTTTGTCTCTCTCTCTACCTATCCATCTGTGTCTAACTCTATATATTTCTATTTGTTTCCCTCACACACACACACACACACACACACACACACACACACACACACACACACACACACACACACACACACATACATGGGTCGTGTTGCATTGTTGAATCTTATCTTTAATAATCTTTTCATCTCTCTGTCTTTCTCTGTCTCTTTATCCCTGACTCTCTCTCTCTCACACACAGACAGGTGAGTCGCATTTCACTGGCCTCAAACACCACCACAAACAACATGAAAGAGGTGAAGTAGTTTATTTTTTTCATGTGTCGAGATGTCACGTTCTGGCAGAGGAGAGGGCAGCAGCGAGAGCTTTCTGCCGAGTCCCGGTGAAAATTTGGGTACAATTTCAATTTCGATCCGTTTTGTGTAGTTCTGGAGCAGTCAGTGCAAGTTCAATGCATTCAAAGGCAGCTCAAAGTATTCAAAGGCAGTTCAAAGTATTCATAGCAAGTCCAAACCAGGAGGAAGATGGACTGAGGAAGGGAAGGATGGGGGAGAGGGGAGAGGATAGTAGGTAGGATGGGAGAGGGATAGTAGGGAGGATGGGAGAGGGATAGTAGGTAGGATGGAAGAGGGATACTAAGGAGGATTGGAGAGGGATAGTAGGGAGGATGGGAAGGGGATAGTAGGTAGGATGGGAGAGGGATAGTAGGGAGGATGACTGACAGAGGGAAGGAAGAAAGGAGTAAGGATTATAGAGAAAGAAAGAACTCAACACAAAATACACCATCTTGATCACATAACTTAAATAAAATATCCTCACCACCACAACACACTAACTGTACTCATAATCTCTTGTGTTTCAGAGATGTACTGCAGGGTCGTCCTCACCACCACAACACACCAACAGTACTCATAATCTCTTGTGTTTCAGAGATGTACTGCAGGGTCGTCCTCACCACCACAACACACTAACTGTACTCATAATCTCTTGTGTTTCAGAGATGTACTGGGCAGGGTCGTCCTCACCACCACAACACACTAACTGTACTCATAATCTCTTGTGTTTCAGAGGTGTACTGCAGGGTCGTCCTCACCACCACAACACACTAACTGTACTCATAATCTCTTGTGTTTCAGAGATGTACTGCAGGGTCGTCCTCACCACCACAACACACTAACTGTACTCATAATCTCTTGTGTTTCAGAGATGTACTGGGCAGGGTCGTCCTCACCACCACAACACACTAACTGTACTCATAATCTCTTGTGTTTCAGAGATGTACTGCAGGGTCGTCCTCACCACCACAACACACTAACTGTACTCATAATCTCTTGTGTTTCAGAGATGTACTGCAGGGTCGTCCTCACCACCACAACACACTAACTGTACTCATAATCTCTTGTGTTTCAGAGATGTACTGCAGGGTCGTCCTCACCACCACAACACACTAACTGTACTCATAATCTCTTGTGTTTCAGAGATGTACTGCAGGGTCGTCCTCACCACCACAACACACTAACTGTACTCATAATCTCTTGTGTTTCAGAGATGTACTGCAGGGTCGTCCTCACCACCACAACACACTAACTGTACTCATAATCTCTTGTGTTTCAGAG